TAATAACGAGTTATCATTCTTACTCATTAACCCCATAACCCAGTTTTTAAGAATCTAGAGGCATAATACAGCCTGTTCTCAGGCTAGTAGCTTTGGTTGCTTCAAGGGCACTAGATCAAAACAAAATCTTCAAGCCACCCTGGGCATTTTGCCATGTCCCAGGCAGCATATTATTAACTCTTAGTGGTCAGAGTGCCCAGGAAAAATCCTCAGACTAAAGCTGCTGCAGTTTTATTCAAATTCTGGCATAATACAATGTTTATATTTTATATCTTTATATAATTTGTCTATATGTCTAATCTTGGCATTCTGTTGTTCCCTGGTCATAGGTCACCATAGTGGCTCTGCATGAGCTAACATTTATAAACAAAGGAAGTCCTGACATCTCATTCTTTTATCATCTTTCCACTCCATATTTTGCTCATCAATACGTCTCTGTGTAAGGCAGAAATATATGCCACATAATTGTCTGAGTATACAGTGGGAAGAGGCTTGTAATCTGAACTGCGGACAATTCCTCTAGCACACCAAATCTTGCTGATTTTTAAGTTTACTCTGTTTTGAATATCTTTTTCCTGTGTAAGTACAGGGACACATGTTTCAAGAATGTCTCATAGCTTCACAAAGAGACCTCTGGCTTCTTTATGTGTCACAACCTCCAAGGCATAAGGAAGACCTTCAAGTAGATAAGGATATCTCCCTAAAAGCAGGGCCAATAATATGTTCAGGACTGTCCTGGGGAAGCTCAGAAGCAGCATTCCTGGGAGAAGGCATAAATGATTCATAAGGAATTTTCCATCAATCCAATATCCACAAATTGTACAAATATTAAAAGTGCCCCAAGTATGCAACAGGTGGAGATGAAAACCAAAGGTGACATGGCAGCTGCTTTGTCAAGCAGCTGTGCTAGTTTTATGACATCTGCCATTCCATTCAGATATGGCTGGGCCATCCCCCCCCCCTTTTTTTTGTTTTAAAAAGATGACTGGAAGGATGAGAATCAAAACAAGCACAACTCCCAAGTTTATTCCCACATTGATGATAATAGATCAAAAGCTCTGTCCTGAAAAAAAGAGTGAGGCATTGTAAATATCTACGTGTTACCTCAGAAGCCAAGGTGGATTACAACTGAGCTGAATTAATGGCTATAATTTCTTGATGCAAAGATTGCATGTTTACAGCTAGTTAGAAGTGTTCCGTAGGCCATGCATGTGGGACCTAAGCTGTGCCTAGATTATCTAAGAAGCATCATATGTAAGTGGAGTGACACAAATCCATTTAAATTGTGAATGACAAGAGGCAGTTAATCTAACTTGATATTTTGAATTTGATTACCTATAAATAAAACAGCTTCTTCCAAAGTCTTTACCGTGTCCTCTTGTAGAAGTGGCCAGAGAGGCTCTTTCATTATTTCAGTAATGATCAAATGACCTACATCTACATAGGTGGCTTATAAACTAAAAGTGAAGCTTCCATGAGTTCTCAGCCAATAAATAAAACTTTACAGAAATATCTTTTCCAGGAAGTCAGTTTCATCAATAGTGAGGAAGGGAAAAGTTTCATGGAAGTGTCTGAATCTAAAAAATACCACGAATAAAATAAATGTGTAAAGTATCTTGTTAGGACGTTGATATGCATAAATTTCTAGGTACATTTTCAATTAGTGGTAAAATGATAGTTAAATATTTAATTTGTGGGGGCTGGAGAGATGGCTCAGTGTTTAAGAGCACTGATTGCTCTTCCAGAGGACGCAGGTTCAATTCCCAGCACCCACATGGAGGCTCACAACTCTGTAACTCAAGCATGTGGAGCACAGACTCCTGCAGGCAAAACACCAATACATATAAAATAAATAAATAAAACTTTAAAAAAAAAATATTTAATTTGTTTGGAAGTTGTTCCCAGAACTATCATTATGGGACTGTTTATTTGGTACTATAAATTTTTTTATATTTTAAGATGTGTTTGATGTGTCTAAGACATGTAGCAATGATAATAGTCCCCAACTCTCTGACATCACTCCTTGACTTTAATGTTGTTTTTTTCACGAGCCTTTGTGGGGGGAAATATTCTGGGCAATAATTACTCATTAATAAAAATAAATATTGGATTACAAGACCTGTAAGGCTCCACCAAAACCGAAGTTGGCATTACAATCTAAATGCAGTCGTTAAAATTTGCAAAACGCTACTACTGCTCTTGAGTGGAATTACAACGTGAGTGAGCTCTGGAGGCAGTATTTTCAACTCTCTTCTTCTCCCCTTTGGAATGTTATCATGAAGGAAGATAGCAACTGTGTGTCCTTGCTTCCGTGGAGGGGTAGGAGCTAAACTCTCTATGAGCACCTTCCTCCAAGTGGCAAACTGCCTCCTGCTGTGAAGTCGGGCGATATTTTACTTGTCTTTTGGGTGAGACCAATTAGCCAAGATAAGTGGCCTTTTTCCTCTGCCTTCCTCCAAATGGGCCTGCCATAGTACTCTTGCCAGACTCAACGTGGGAGGCCTGCAGGAAATGTGGCCATGGGTGAAAGCTAGCTGTGAAAATTGTCAGCCTACATTAGAGATAAGAACTAGATGAGCTGAGTAGAGCATTGTCATGGCTCCATTCCATCATGTTCTCTTCTCCATGCATGGTCCACAGAGACCCACTTCTGCAGGACTGTTTTCTAGAGGAAAAGCTGAGAAGGGACAGCCCTTCATTTTTAGAGGCACGCAAATCCTTAATACACACATGATGCCATCTCTCCCCTTTGCCAAGCCCTGGCAGTATGAAGTAGCCAGCCTCTTGAAGCTTGCATCCTATGAAATCATTCTCAGTCTTCATTCTCATCTTAACCTCCCATAGTCCTTACGCTGATGGCTGCATTGCTGCACCAGAAAGCATGGGAGGCAAGTGGAGATTACTGTGCCAATTACTGTCCTGGGGAAGTGAGTCAGTGCCTGTTCTATGATGCTGTTTGTTACGTGTGACATTCATCACTTGCTACAGTTCATCCTCAGCAGAACTGAGAATGCAGAGAGGACCGGAAAAAAGGTTAGAGAGGAATATCAAATCAGAATTCAGAAAGAGGTTGAGAAGAATGTATGTAGACTGGGAAGACCCTTCTCTTCCTGTACTGACTTGTATTTAGTCCCATTGTTTTTTTAGTTTCAAAGACCATTAGAGAGCATCGTAACATTGATGTATGTCCCCAGGGGAACTTGGGCAGTATTGCACTGTCCCTGATCAAAATCAGTCTCAGAACAGGTGTCTAGATGATTTCCGTGTTCTTGTTTCACTTTATTTTACTTAAGTCATAGATCCTGTAGCTATTGCTATCTGCTAGCCATTGTACAATAACTTGGTATTGTGACTGAAGTTTTATTCATCTTTGATAGCTGTCTTTGGCAATATTGAAAGTGGACACAAAACTTAGGGATGAGATAACCTGTATCGGGTAGCTGTTTTAGCTATGACCTTGAAGCACCACCCCGAGTGAAGTAACAGGTCACTGTTACACCTGCCTATAACCTTGAAGTACATGCTTGGGACCCTTAACAACTGGGATGCACGTAAGCGACTCCCTTCGCCTCCTCGTGGTATTGGATGCTGGGATCTTAGACCAGGTAAATCAGCATGTGACATAGCTCAGCTTTCCTGGACCCTATGATACATCTCCCATGGTAGTGAGTTAACCCCCAAATAAGTTCCTTCGCTCATTAAATGGACTCTGTGGGTTTCTTGCATTAATAACCAATTCACATGCTGATACAGGAATACACAAGCCTCTCCAGTGCTTCAAGATGTTCACAGGGTCCATCTTCCATGGGGAGATTTCATACAGAAAGTTGGTGTAAGTCTGTAGAAGCTTTAGTAACCTGAGCTTATAGATCTTAATATGAAGGAACTGTATTAAAGGGTCACAGCATTAGGAAGGTTGAGAACCACTGATAAAGCTGCTTCCTTTCCACTCCAAGTATAACCTGTGAAATTCTTTGAACTTTGACAATTCTTTAAACAGCCTAACTGAAAAAAAGAATAAAAACTTGTTTTAAAATAAGTTCTTTAATTCGTTCTTAGACAATTTCAGACGTGCATTTAATGCATTCTGATTACTGCATCTCTCACCTGCTCTTGTCTCCCATCCTTGTTACACACTACATCCCTGCAAGTCCCTTTTCCAAAAATACAGGAATAGGCATCATTTCATACTTAAAAAAAATACAGTTATGACTTCAGATAGTAAGTCATTTTTTCTTTTCTTTTCCTTCTTTCTTTCTTTCTTTTTTTGAGATTGGCACTCTAAGGATAGTGTTGCAATGGACAGGCCACACTAACTTAAACCACACACTTTAAAATTTGCCTATTGTAAAAGAAGAAAACGTGAGCTTTCATGAATGGGTTCAAGCATTCCACCTTTTCTCAGGAAATAATCCTTTGGGACCTAACTAATTCATAAATGCACACTCCTGTCCCTTTCCCTTTCAGCTGGTTTTGCTTTGTGTATTTGGAACCTCTACCTTTCATCCCATCAATAGTTTGTTATGTCCACCAACGACCCCCTGGGGGGTGTTCTTTCACCTCATCAGTCACTCTGGAGGGCTCTCATCACCCCTGACTGGATGCCAGTAGCGGCCCCTGCCCCCAGACACCCCACAAGGTGCTTTCCAGTGTCTTTGTTACCCTATGTGGGATTGTGGGATGGCCTGAGACCTGGTTCAAGGCATGAGCTGGTCACCGCACTCCCACAAGGAAGAGGAAGGTCATTTGCTCAGCAAGACGCCTGACAGAGAGTCCAGGAAGTCACTGCCACCCTGGCTCAGGGCTGGGGGAGGTAGGAGGTAGGAGGGTGACTCTCCCAGCTCCAAGGACACTGGAGAGAAGATCTCTAGCGTCTGTGCCCAGCACCTCCTTCCAGCAGACACGGTGGCCCACAGACTGAGCTTGTGTAGGAGGGAAGGAAGATCCTTGCCCTGGGCGGGGCGACAGTGACTGGACAGGGGTGGCGCTGGCTGGCTGCAGTGTCTGCCTGGGGACTGGGAGGCGTGGCTGAGCCTCTGCGTGAGTGCTGGAGGGAGCCAGCAGGAAACTGCTGCCTTTCTCTGACTTCTCAGCACCATTTCAGCCTCCTGATCCTGGCAGTCAAAAGGTACATCAGAGCATAGTACAGTTCTTTCAGAGAGCAAGAGGTGACAAAGACCTTCGCAACCTGAAGCCCAGAGTTTACTGCAACCAACCAACCGGCTCTGGCAGCAGCGGAGGGTTGGAACACTAGGCTGTGCTGGACTCATATTCAGCCCCTTGGGTGCTGTGTGTGCAAGCGCTTTTTTTTTTTTTTTAAAGAAGACTCGGGGTTCTACTCCACAGCTGCAGCATCCAGTGTCCCAAGACTCGTCATCAGCAGTCTTCTGGGTGAAAAACTTGGATTTCTTTCAGAGGATACAGACAGAAAGCCTGAGCCAGAACTACAAGTGCCAGCCCTGAGCTTTCAGGACAGGGGTCTCCGGGCAAAGGAGGTGAAGCCTTTGGAAAAGAAAGACATTGACAGGACCCATTGGGTCAGCTGGTGGCCAGGGCGCTCATGCTTCTGCCTTGGCTCACAGGATTTGGGGCTGGACTGCTCTTCCTGCACTTCGTGCAGAAACTTCTGTTCCCCTACTTCTGGGACGATTTGTGGTTCCTGCTCAAGGTGGTGCGCTATGGAATTCAGATAGAGATATACAAACTGAGAGGGGAGCTGGTCACCGTGCTCGATAAGTTCCTGAGCCACGCCAGGAGGCAACCACAGAAAGCCTTCATCATTTATGAGGGGGACGTCTACACCTATGAGGACGTAGACAAGAGGAGCAACCGAGTGGCCCACGCCTTCCTAACCCACTCCTCGCTGAAGAGGGGGGATGTCGTGGCTTTGCTGATGAGCAATGAGCCAGACTTCGTTCATGTGTGGTTCGGCCTGGCTAAGCTGGGCTGCGTGGTGGCCTTCCTCAACTCCAACATCCGCTGCAATTCCCTCCTCCACTGCATCTGCACCTGTGAGCCCAAGGCCGTGGTGGTGGGCGGAGGTAGAGTATGAGCTGTGGTCTGCTACGCGCAAAGCGAGCCAACCTGTCTCCCCGCTCCCCCTCTGCTAGCCATGTTTCCTGTCTAATACTCTGAGGCGGGTGGTAAGGTGTGTAAGGTATGCCTATAAGATCGCTCTTCCATCCCTCAGCCAGCGGCTTAGCTCCTCCCACACACCTCTTCATCCACTTACTTCCTTGTAGATTAGTAAACAGCAATACAATGAAAGAATATTTTTATGAAATCTCTGTTTCCTTCCATTTGGGGAAGGGCAACAAGTACCTTCAGTCCCCGAGAGAACTCAAGAGATGTAGGGTTGGATTAGCTATTTTATCAGCCCTGACAAAGTGTTTCATGAGTAAGAAAGCTACCAATTAGTAACTTTATCAAGAATGAGTACATTTGGATAACTGAAAATTTAAACGTGGAATTCACACATTCTTAGCTTCACCCCGTGCTTACTTTGTGCTCTGCGAGCTAGGATTTGACAGCACAAGGCTGAGCTACCCTTCTGAGGCAGGGACAGGCTCTTGGCAGACAATAGTCCTCTCCCTTGGTCTGCTTCCCTCCATCATTTTCTGTCATTTACCTTCTTCCTTCCCTGATGTGAGTTAAGACAGCTATGGTTATATATATTTACCATGACTGATGAAGATAAATCTTGGGTTTAATGAGTAATTAATGAAGAAGTTAGGAAATGGGGTAATTCAATAAACTAAAACAGGAAGCCTGGCACTTATTTGGCACAACCTAAAGGGTTTAGACAATTGCTTCTTGTATGTAGCTAAAAAGTCATAAGGGTGTCCAAAGTAAAGATCTTGGTAAAAAAAAAAAAAAAAAAAAAAAAAAAAAAACAGGTATTTTAGATTAAATGATACAGACTGGTTCTTTGTATAGGATTTCAGAATCCTGGAAGACTAGGGAATAAAATCTAGTTTCTGCTTCATTGATAGCCGTTACGCGTGACAAAAGTGAGTAAGGCTGTGGACATAAGAAGAGCTACCTGTCAACACTGTAACTCTTCCTACATCTTCGTTCTGTCCTTCCAGTTTATCTTGTACAGGTCCAACCATGTCATGAAGTGTTTATTGTCAAGCACTGGTTTCAGCTAGTTTAGGGCCATAGGAGTGGAGAAGCCAAAATGTGTCCCTTGGGTACTGTCTGGTGGTTCTCTCAGTCCTCTCTTCCATTCTCAGTGACCTATGGTGATAAGTAGAATCAATGAGTCATATAGAATTCTGACAGTGTGGAGAAACAGTATCAATTCCTACAGTGAATGCAGGAGAAAAATAAACACCATTTATTTATTATCTGTGGATGTTCTCTGACGTCTTATCCCATGGCTTACACCACTGCATATCATGTAGCAAATATAAACTCCAAATTGTGCTAGAAAATATTACCTCCCTTCAGAAGAGCAAACTAAGAGAGCTACAGTGTCCCTGAAAAGATCTTTGTGGTCACGATGCTGAGGTCAATCTGAGAAGTTTCCCAGAGCAAATTACTAGTCTTCCCAAGGGGCACAGTGCTGGGTACATCTCAAGTCCTTACACAAACTTGGCTGTAGCGTGAGGAGTTGCTTAATTATGTTCAATTAGTGTTACAGTCGACTTGTTCTAGCTTTGACTTTGCTCTCCAGCAACTAATTGCAGTGTTTCTCTGTTTCAATGCCAACATCCCAGCATCCCCTACTCCCTTTTTAGCACGTAAAGCTATGGAGACTGGGAACATAGCTAAGTCCAGTAAAGTACAATCCAAACATAAATACCTAAGTTTGATCCTCATAACCTAAATTAAAAAAAAAAAAAAAAAAACTCTGTGTGGTAATCTCAGAGCTGAGAGGCAGAGGTAGGTGGAGCCCTAGTGCTCACTGGCCATTTAATCTAGTTACTTGCTGAGCTCCAGGCCAATGAGAGACTCTATCTCAAAAATTGATAAGGTGTCGCTCAATGGAGGAATACATAACGCTGACCCCTGACCTCCACAC